GGGGGGGGGGGGGGTGACGTCAGCGACAGAAAGTCGTTAAAAAGGCGAAGTTCTGTCGGAGACCCAAACTGTTCACCAGAACCGCTCACAGTTTTACTCTTCTGGATCACGATTGCCCGCCTTAGCTAGAACCGGTTCGGTTGGACCAGGATCAGAAGCCTTTTAGGTTCAACTCTCGCGGAGGTAAGAATGATTATAAAAGCTTTAATATTTATTATCGTTTAAGAACTTTATCACGCAAACACTTTTACTGTCACACACGATGTTCATGTTAATACAACAGGTTTACTTTAATTATAACCTATCATTTTAATTATAACCTATCATTTTAATTATAACCTATCATTTTAATTATAACCTATCATTTTAATTATAACCTATCAGTTGAGTTATATTTTTTCTGATGAAACAAGAGATGAGAGAAAAGACAATCTCGTTAAAATCTTGTACAGCAGCAACAAGATCATAGACAAGAAAACAGAAGGAAAACAAAACAAAACGAACAAGATATAAAACGTGCAGTGTCTAACGTTAGTTTTCTCAGCAGCTTCATGCAGGTCATGTTTTTGCTAATAATGTGTGAAGTTCTTGTGTTCTCAGTCCGTGGCTGTGATGGCACAGAGCAGCTGCCTGTGGATGCTGGTTCTGGGTTCGTGCGTGTCCCTGGGGCTCGGTACAGACTGCAGGAAGGAGTGTGCACGCTGTGTGCACCGTCTGCAAGGACAACAGTCTGCCCTCTCAGCTCTGGTACTGTCAGCACATTTATACATGTTGCTTCTTCCATGAAACCATCAGAACACACACATGCCACTGCACAGTTTATGTTTCCTCTGCTTCCGTTGAACAGACCAAGCAAAAAGGCAACAACTGTATTAAATTTCAGATCATTTCATAAAAATTCTGATAAAATAAACATAATTTAAAAAAAGAAAAGGTTTGGGGTTTTGTCAGAAAATAATTGTGTTTAATGACCCACCAAAATGTAAATAAATAGATACCAAAAAAAAACAAAACATAAATGCATGGCTATTTTTTCACCATAATGGCTTCCAGGGGTAAAATAATGAAACATGAAAAGAGGAATCAGGAGGTCAAATGAGACTTTTGTACAATAACCAAACACTTAATCACACTTTTAGTTTTGATTTCAATATTAGAAACATCTCTTATTCAGTGTAATTTCTACCCACTTGAATATGTAGCAGCAAAACATTAAGGTTTACTTACATTCCCTGTTGGGCGGCACGGTGGCTCAGTTGGTAGAGCTGCTGCCTCTCAGCGAGCAGGACACCTCAGTTTAATTCCCAGCCAGGGACCTTTCTGGGTGCAGTTTGTATGTTCTCTCCGTGCATGCATGGGTTTTCTTCGGTTTCCTCCCATAGACCAAAAACATGCATGTTAGTATGATTGGTAACTCTAAATTGTCCCTAGGTGAGAGTGAATGGTTGCTTGTCTCATTTGTCTCTATGTGTCCCTGTGATGGACTGGAGACCTGTCCAGGGTGTCCCCGCCCGCACAGTGACTGCTGGATATGGGCACCAGTGACCCCCGCAACCCAAAAAGGAAGAAGAAGGGTAAAGATGACAGATGGTTACATTCCTTGTTCAATTCCAGTCCAGAAAAACACTCATATTGAAAATTAAAAACATTAAAAATTTTATTCCCTTAGCGACAGGGGACATCAGCCTATAGGCTATAATGTTTTTGCCCCTTATGCTGCAGAGGGGGAATTGGAAATACCTTGTGCGTGTGTGTGCGTGTGTGTGCGTGTGTGTGCTTGTTTAAGTGACTTTGTGAGGACCAGTTTTTCAATTCAATTCAGTTTATTTATATAGCACCGTCACAACAGAAGTCATCTCAGAGCACTGAACAGAAACAATCATATATAAAATAATAATTTAACATTTATCTGAGGAGCAGACTGCTTTGGAGTTTAACTCCATCGCAGAACTCTCATCTTGAGCAAGCATGAAGGCGACAGTGGAAAGAAAAAACTCCCTCACGAGGAAGAAACCTTTAGCAGAACCAGGATCAGGACAAGTGGACATCTGCTTCGACTGGCTGGGTTTGAGAGAAACAGATACACAATGGCAGGTCAAGAATCACATGTTAAGAAAGAAATAATATCAAATGAAAACTGTTCAATTTTAGCAAATCATTTAAGGAATGGTTAGTTTGACCTCTAGTAGTCTAAGTCTATAACAGCATGACAAGCCGACCTTAACTCCAGTTATAACTCTGGCAGCAGCATTTTGGATCAACTGAAGACGTTTTAAAGAAGTATTTGGACACCCAGATAATAAACCATTGCAATAGTCCAGTATAGACGTGACAAATGCATGGACCAGTTTTTCTGCATCATCTTTAGATCAGATGTTTCTAATTTTAGTGATATTACGCAGGTGGAAGAAGGCAGTTCTAGTAACGTTTTTAATGTGGGGGATAAAAGACATGTCCTGATCAAAAATAACACCAAGATTTTTAACATTAGAGCTGGAGGTCAGATTAATGCATCTAAGGAGGGAGAAAGACTGAAACATTCATTCCTAAGGTGCTCAGGTCCAAAAACCAAAACCTCAGTCTTGTCTGTGTTCAAAAGCAGAAAATTTAGGGCCATCCATGTTTTCATGTCTTTAAGACATGCTTGTAGTCTAAGTAGCTGATTGGATTCATTGGGTTTAATGGACAAATATATAGTAATTGTGTGTCATCAGCATAACGATGAAAAAGTATCCCATGCTGTTTAATAACATTACCCAATGGAAGCATATACTGTACATAGTAAAGAGTATTGTCCCAAGCACTGAAACTTGAAAAACTCCACGACTAACTTTGATGTATGAAGAAGATTTATTATTTACATTTACAAATTAGAATCTATCAGATAGAGATGATTAAACCAATTTCAATTCTAATTAAAGCTGCAAGCAGCATTGGAGGCCCTCGCAGCAAAGCGTTTCTCCGGCCTTACGGCGACTGCGTGAGCTCCAGCTAGTCCACCCAGTCGCCATTGTGAATGCTCTCGTGCCAATCCTGTACGCGTTCACCACGGCGCACATTTCCCGAATCTTCGACATTGCCTTCCGTCCATGTCGTTACTTGTCCAGCTGCAGGTCTTATAAGTATACGCGAAATCTAACCTTCCAGACAGGAGTTATGGTGACGTCCTGTTTTGTGGCAAATGTTTGACAAGCACTTCCTTTATGCTTTTCAACATGTCATGTGTGGTAATCAACAGTTAACGAACAAAGTTTCAGTCTAATATCTCACACAGTGCGAAGCTGGAAGTGTCATCCAATAATCAACAGTTTATTCTCTGAGAAGGTGGGGCTTAAGTGATGTCATGAATCAACAATACCAATGTGTCTACAAGTGCTCACTGATAAAGCACAAAAACTCAGGTTCAGATTGGATGATATTTCACTGAGATCTAACTGTTGGAATAATGTAGGGGGCACACTTGCGTCCAATGTTAAAGAATAATACCAATGTGTCTATAAGTGTTCACTGATCATGCACAATAAATCTGGTACATATTGGATGATATTTCGCTGAGATACAACTGTTGGAATAATGTAGGGGTGCACTGGAGTCAAAAGTTAAACAACAATACCAGTGTGTGTAAGTGCTCACTAATGACATACCAAAAATCTGGTGTAGATCGGATGATATTTCACTGAGATATAACTCTTGGAATAATGTAGGGGTCACACTTGAGTCATATGTTAAACCACAATATCAATGTGTCTAGACTTGGTCACTGACTATGCATAAAAATTCTGGTTCAGATTGGATGATGTATCACTGAGATATAACTGTTGGAATAATCTAGGTGGCGCACTAGAGTCAAAAGTTAAACAACAATACCAGTGTGTCTATAAGTGTTCACTAATGACGTACCCAAAGTCTCGCGTAGATCGGATGATATATCACTGAGATATAACTAATTGGGAGCGCTAAGAGGCTGGGAGAGTAATCAGGGTGCACCTGGTGATGAGCTGCTGAGGTCAAGTGAGAGCTGTGCTATGTAAGTAACATGGCAGGATACTGCTAAACAAAATGATTCGACTCAGGTAAAACAAGCCTATATATTACAATCAAGCATCAATAATGTTAATAATAACCACTGCATATTGTTTCAATAAACCAAACTGGACGAGGAAACCTTGGACAGTCTGGAGAGATACGTGGACGAGTGTTTTGAAAACATCGTGATGGGTAAACCACAAAAAAACACCTCATCCACGGCAACACCAACTCCTAAACGCACGCGTTTGGAGAGCTCAACCAGCACGTCCACCTCTCCAGAGAAAAGCTTCACTGATGTCCTGGGCTCTATAGACAAAAAGCTAACCAGCTTAGATACCCGGCTGGCCCTGGTGGAGGTTCTACACAAGGAGTTTCAAGCACTGAGGGAGTCTCTGGAGTTCAGCCAAGCTCAGGTGGCGTCGCTCGCTGCAGAGAACCAAACTCTGAGGGGTAACATCAAAGAACTCACCGAGAAGATGTCGCAGCTGACCGGAGAAAACAGGAAAATGAAGGAATCCATCCTGGACATTCAAGCTCGGAGCATGAGAGACAATCTTGTCTTCTCAGGGATCCCAGAATGAGAGGATGCTGAAGTTACGATCTGTGAGTTTATCCAACATCAGCTGAAACTCCCAAGTGAGACAGTAAAAAACATCACATTCCATCGCGTTCATCAGCTCGGAGGTAAGAAGCCCGAGAACAAGCGACCTCGGCCAATTATAGCTAAATTTGAACATTATAAACAAAAAGAGCAGGTCAGAGGTCGGGGCAGAGAGCTGCGTGGGACGGACTTCAGTGTGAACGATCAATTTCCAAAAGAGATCTTCGATCGGAGGCGAGTTTTGTTTCCAACCAGGAGGAAATACATGTCTGAGGGCGTCAGAGCTACGGTGGCTGTACAAGTAGATAAACTTTATACAAAGTGTTAATGGTCAGTTGTTCAGGGAATGAGACATCACTCCGTGGCTTTATTAAAAGGAACAACGGGTTAGTCTGAAGCAGGGCTGTTCAACTGACGGCCCGCGGGCCAAATCAGGCCCACAGGTGAGCTAAGTTCAGTCCACCAATGGGTTCATTCTTTTAAAACATAACTAGTTTCAACTATAAAACAAAGTAACTTAATGATATGAACTAGTGGATATCTGACCCCTGAGCACTTGGCTTTCAGTAACTGTGGCCCCCTGGGCAGTTTAGTTGAGCAGTCCTGGTTTAACACTTGTAACACTGGAGGTAAATTAACTGGCATTTGTAAATAAAATGTAAAGCACAGCTCGGTAAGGTGTCTGCACTGGTGAAGGTGAACGGTGTCACAGCTATTCTTTTTTTTTGTTTGTTTATTTTTTCCTTTCCTTTCTTTTCCTTTTTTTAATTAATTTATTTTTGAAATTATTTTACTCTTTTCTCTTTTATGTTTGTCTGTTACCACATCACTTCATCAGTCTTTTTTCTTCTTTACCACCCAACAAACATTTACACACAAGCACACCAAAACACACACACATTATCAAAAGCTTGTGTTTTCGTATATGTTAAAGGGGCGTGGCCAGGCCTCAAAGTTGTGCTTCACGCCATAAATTTCCAAACGCTGTAACTTTCACATTGAAAAACCAAAATGCACGAGACTTGGCATGACTCATCCCTGTTAGATGCCCGACGATTCACTGTGGTCATATTTTGACGTCATCAAAGCCCCCCCCCCCCAAAAAAAAAAAACAGGA